CTGCTTAAGGATCTGGGGGATTCAGGAAAAGGAAGCAAGACAATTTCCCACATAACCAAAGAAGAGAAGGGAAGGATGTGAATTCTTCTTCACCCGTGATGTTGGCCTTCAAATGTAAGTTATCTTTAACGGAAGTTGGCACATGAAAGAGGACTAAGATGTGACCAAACAATTTAGCCACTTTGTGCCTAAAAGATGTGCAGAGATTAACCTTTTAATTTTATTGAGGTTTTGGGATGGTGTTAGGTCTGCCCTGAAAAATCTGAATTCCAACACATCTTACTTTTTCGTTTGTTTACATTAGACTTGATGTGCAGTTAAAACCTATGATGTATTTGATTATCTCTTAATTTATCATGCATTACTGTATAACCATATATATGTGTAAATATATGGTTTTTATATGTTTATGAAACTATGTATTTGAATACATAAACATGATTTAAAAATGTGCCTTGGGAGACTTAACACAAGCCAAAGAAAAAGTTCATTTTCTTTTAATTCCATTTTTTCCACGAACCTTTGAAGCCCCCTCATTTTGTTTTCTCAACTAAACTTTTTGAAGATAGGAAATGCAATTTTGTTTTTGTCTACAGCACTCCACATAATTGGAACTCATATTTTACATGTTTATAGGCCCTTTTTCTCCCATACTGACTCCACCAAAGTGTTCCCTAATTCAAGACAAAATTTAAACAAATGAAAAAAACCCAAAAAACAGTCCTCACTCGAAATCTGACAACCCTATAGCCTCTTATTTCATCTTCCTTCCCTGGCTCTAATCCCCTTGGTAATGTTCAAAGTCTTGTTCCTTTAGGTATGAAAGTCTTGGTCTCGTTTTATTTTTGCTTTTGCTTTTTAACAGTGGTCTCGTACTATATTTGTCCTTTTGTGATTAATTAATTTCACTCAACATAATGTTCTCCAAGTCCATTCATGCCATTAGGTGCTTTGTCTTTCATCATTATTTTTTAGTGATACATAGTATTCCATTATGTGTATGTACCAAAGTTTTTTATTCATCCTTCTCCTGATGAGCATTCAGATGGTTTCCATCTTCTTACTATTGTGAACAGTATTTTGGGTCTGTGATGCCTACATGCTCTATGATTCTTATTTCATTAGCATATATACCCAGTAGAGGTATTGCTGGATTATATGGAATTTCTATTCCCAGTTGTTTGTGGTAGCCCCCTATCGCTTTCCTCAATGGTTATACATATTTTTAGTCCCACCAGCAGTGTAAGAGTGTTCCAATATGTCTGTATCCTCTGTAGCAATTGTATTCTGATTTATTGACTTTGACTCATCAGTGTACAGGAATCTCCTGGATGACTTAATGATTGTGAACTTTTTTGTATGTGTTAGCTGGTTGATTGGATGTTAACCTTGGTGAACTGTCCGTATCATTTGTCCAATTTTTAATTGGGTTATTCTTTTATTCTTATTGAGGTATTGAAGTTTTCTACTAATTTTAGAGATTAGTCCCTTGTCTGCTGTGTTGTTGCCAGTTTTTTACCCGCCAGTTCATGGGTTCTTGTTTTATTCTTTTGATGAGGTCTTTTAATGCACATAAGTGCCTTATTTTTAGGAGGCCCCAGTCATCTGTTGGGTGTGTGTGCTTCTTTTATCATATTTGTTGGTGTCTATGACCTGCATTACTCTAAAAAACCAAACTCACCGCCATGCAGCCGATTCTGACTCATAATGACCCGTCAGACAAAGTAGAACTGCCCCTGTGAATTTTCAAGACTCTTTGCTGGTATAGAAAGTCCCTGATGGTTTTCAAACACCGATGTTGCAGTTGTTGGCCTCAGGGCAATTTGTCCCCTATTTTCTCAGTGATGATCTTTATAGCTCTGGGATTTACATTTAGGTCTTTGATCCATCTTGAATTTGTTTTTGTACATGGGGTGAAATATGCTCTGTGCTTCTTCTGAAAATGGAGGCTCAGTTTTGCCAGCACCGTGAAAATAGTTGAAGATACTATGTCTTTCCCACTTAATGTTTTTTGTTTTCCTCTCCCACATAATGTTTTTTGACCCATTGTTGAAAATCAGTTGTCTGTAGGTAGATAACTTTATTGCTGAATTCTCTTTTGTTTCATTGGTCTGTGTACCCATCATTGTACCAGTACCAATAGCAGTTTGTATTTTAAGAAAATTAAAAGCCATTTCTCTTTTTTTTCCTTTTGTGTTACCATTATCTTTGTTTTTAAGTTTAACTTAAATGAAAACTTACTAATGTCTCAGGAGATTTCAGAAAGCAGAAAAGTGTCACTTTGAACCATCTTTGAGGTTAGCAGTCCAGTGCTTATCTGCCACCAAGATAACATTCTGTATGTAGTTACTACATGGTAAAATAATACAAATGAGTGATTATGTGCAATCTAGAATAAATAAATTAGATATTTAATATTTATTTTTAAATGGTCCAATACATAATTTAAGGCCTTAAAAAATAAAATTTGCACGCTGTGGTAATGCATCTTAAGAGGTTTGTTGTAGATTTCCTTAAATATACTATAAATATGCTAATGCAACTTCAGTTGACTTTAAAGATTTAAAAGAAAAAATCTCTTAAGATTCTGGAATATGTTTGTGGTTTTGTTTTTGTTTTGCATTGTTGGCATTTGCAGGTAAAAATAGTGGGTACTTACTTTTAAAGGTTTAGACATTTGGTACCGTCATAAACAAGTTTGAGTAGCAATATTAAGTGACCTTTTAAGGCACTAGGGTATTTGATAATTAGAAGCCACTTGACAGTTTTAAGAAAGACAATAAGTAGTCGAAGTTATTTAAATGTCATTTTGCCCATATTCTAGTTGTGTTATGTGTTGTCCTCAATACATTGTTATTTGCAGCCTTTAATGTGATTTGATAGGCTTCACACATATATCCTTATGGTCATTATTATGTCTTCCTAGCCTTTCAGCAGGAACTTGATGCGAGGCATGACAAATATGAAAGGCTTGTGAAACTTAGTCGGGATATAACTGTTGAAAGTAAAAGGACAATTTTTCTCCTCCATAGGATTACAAGGTGAGTAAATACCTTTAAACTTTGTCAGAGGTTGATGCACTTTATCATTTAAATTGTATGCATTGTATCTCAGTATTCTTATTACCTGTTAGGATATTCTTTGACTTAATTTGTGAACATTAAGATCAGAGGAAAACAGTAGAAGTGTATTTTAAGAATAAACATTTTAAAGAAAATAGAAAATTCTTTTCAGAATAGCTAGTTTTTTTCTGTTCAGATCATGAAGATAAATCTATTTTTGAAGTGATAATTCGGTTTTCGATGGTGTTTTAAGGTTTTTTTACATTAAAGATTTACTTGAGTGAGAAGTGTTAAAAAAATGAGAAAATAAGTGTCAAAAATTCCTCAATCCAAAATAAAAGAGAAAACTCATAAATTTTGTTTGATTTTTGTTGTGGTTGTTTTATGGTTTAAGGTCGTATCCACAATTGACCCGCTGCTTTCCAATCAATTGCCAGTCATAGTAACCCTATAGAGCAGAGTAGTACTGCTTCATAGGTTTTGAGGCTGTAATTCATTACAGAAACTGACTAACCCTCTTTCTCCTGTGTAGGGGCTGATGGGCTCAGCCATTGACCTCTCCGTTCAACCCTTAATCCACTGTGCTACCAGGGATCCTTACATAGTTTGTATGAGAACCCTGAAATATTATAGGTTCTTTCAATTTTCCTTTATCAGTCTGACATTTTTGCCACTGTGCTACTTCTACATTTGCTATAAGCTCCATAATATATTATTATTAATGTATTAATAACAATATATTTTAAAAGAAAAAAATGACATTTAACACATTTTTCTGTTTCCAGTTTTTGCATTTATTGTGTAGATATAGATTTCTAGCAGACCCTCTATAGATCTCTGGAGCTCTTTCTTTTTTAAAGTCATTTTATTGGGGGCTTGTACAACTCTATCACAATCCCTGCATCCATCCATTGTGTCAAGCACATCTGTACATTTGTTGCCATCATCATTCTCAAAACATTTTCTTTCTACTT